AGGCTGTCATGTATGCTCATGTCTATATGTTCATGTGACTGTTAGGGCAGTGCAAAGATACAGGTGTTGCAAGAATCTTTTTTGCAGAAATGATCTCAGTATAAAATCAGACAAATGTGTTTCCACAGCCACCTTGACATATGATACTCTCCGGTTTGCTGAATTTGAAGATTTCCCCGAGACCTCGGAGCCTGTTTGGATTCTGGGCAGAAAATATAGCATTTTCACAGGTATTGTTCGCTTGGCTCTGATTACTTCTGCAGAAGTCTTGAGCTGGTAATTTGCTGACTCTCAGTTTGTTTGTCTTCCTCTTTTAAATAACCAGAGAAGGACGAAATCCTGTCTGATGTGGCGTCCAGACTCTGGTTTACATACAGGAGAAACTTTCCAGCCATTGGTGAGTACCCTATTTTTAATCTTTCAGATGTTCTGAATCATTTATTTTTAATCTCTGTGTCTGTCTGCGTCTTTGTGTATCGGGGTACAGGCATATGTATGGAGGTCAAAGGACAACCTACAGTTTTGGTCCTTGCTTTCCATCTTGTTTGAGATAAGGTCTCTTGCTATTCATCACTGAGTATGTCAGTCTAGCTGGTCCAGCTAGACACCCCCCCCCCCCCCCCCCCGTCTCTGCCTCCCATCATCCTATGGAGCTCTGGAGTTTGGAAGTGTGCTGCTGCATTGAGCTTTATGCAGGTCCCAGGGATTGAACTCAGATCCTTTCCTGGACGTGGCAAGCTCCTTACTCACTGAGCTATCTCCCCAGCTTGAGTATCCCAACTTTTCTACAACCTGTGACAAAATACTTCTAGCTCCTTGTCAGCCACAAGCTGGGGATTGTAGTCAGGATAAAGGGTCATGACAGTAATTTTGTTGTTGTTTGTTTTTGAGATTGGCTCTGTGCTAGTTGGTTTGCTTCGTGTTTTTTGTTTGTTTTATTTTGGTTTTTGTTCGCTTGTTTTTGGTTTTATTTGAGACAGGGTTTCTTTGTATAGCCCTGGCGCCCTGGAACTGCTCTGAAGATCAGACTGGCCTCAAACTCACAAAGACCTACCTGCCTCTGCTTCCCAATCCAAGTGCTGGGATTAAAGGTGTGTGCCATTACTGCCTGGCATTTTTTTCTTTTTTAAACTTGACACAAGCTGGGACCTTCTGGGAAGAGGGAACCTCAATTGAGAAAATGCCTCCATCAGATTGGCCTGTAAGTATGAGCATTTTCTTGATTAGTGATTGATGTGGGAGGCCCAGCCCTCGGTGTCTGGTACCACCCTGAACAGGTAGTCTGTGGTTGGCATTGATGTGGGAGGGCCAGCCTCGGTGTCTGGTACCACCCCTGAACAGGTAGTCTGTGGTTGGCATTGATGTGGGAGGGCCAGCCTCGGTGTCTGGTACCACCCCTGAACAGGTAGTCTGTGGTTGGCATTGATGTGGGAGGGCCCAGCCCTCTGTGTCTGGTACCACCCTGAACAGGTAGTCTGTGGTTGGCATTTTCTTTGGACTGCCAACCAGCTCCCAAATAAAGACATGGAGAATTATTGTTAGTTATGAATGCTCGTCTTTAGCTCGGGCTTGTCCTACTGGCTCTTTTAACTTAATTTAACATTTTTCTATTCATCTACGTCTTGCCCCAGGGCTTTAACTTTCTTTCATTCTATATGTCCTACTTTCCTGCTTCCTCTGTGTCTGTCTGGCCCTTAGCATCTCCCTGTTATCTTTTTTACTTTCTCCCTCAAGCCTAAATTCTCCTTCCTTTCCCTGCCTGGAAGTCCTGCCTATACCTCCTCCCTCACTATTGGCCATTCAGCTTTTATTATACCAATTAGGTGCCTCGAGCAGGTAAGGTAAAATGGCAGCACATTGTTATATAATTAAACAAATGCAACACATTTACATAGTTAAGCTAATATCATGCAACATAAACAAATGCAACACATTTTTACATAGTCAAACTAGTAACAGTAGTCTTGGGTTGTGATTTAAAAAAAAAAGACAGGCTGAAGGAGCCATGGAGCAAGCCAGTAAACAGCACTCCTCTGGGGCCTCTGCTTCAGTTCCTGTCTCCAGTTTCCTGTTCTCTTTGAGTTCCTGCCTTGGCTTCCTCAGGGATGGGCTGTGATCAGGATATAGAAACCAAATAAACCATTTTCAAGTTTTACTTTTGGTAGTGGTATTTATCACCACAGTAGAAACTGAACTAGGAAACCATGGTAAATAATAACTGCCAGGGTGTTGGAGAGTGCCTCGGAGCCTGAGAAAAACTTTTATTATTTGACTAGTTCTAAACATCCCTGAGGTGAAGTGTCTTTGTTTTGTTTCTGTTGCTATCATAAAATACCCTGACAAAAGCAACTTGTTTTAGCTCACAGTTCAGATTATACTTCATCTTCTCTCGGGAGTCATAGCAATAGGGGCTTGAGACGGCCAAGCACGATGCATCCATAGTCAAGAAGCAGAGAGGAGTGAGCTGGTGTATGTGTGAATGCGTGTGCTCAGCTCACTTTCTTAATACAGTCTACGGAGCAAACCCAGAGAATGGGGACTCTCACGTTCAAGCTGGGTTTTCTCACAGGTGTGCCCATAGGCAAAACTAATCTAGACAGTCTGATGCTTTAAGTAAGAATGGTTCCATAAGCTAATTTGCTTGAATGGTTAGTCCCCAGTTAATGAAACTGTTTGGGAAGGATTAGCTGGTGTGGCCATGCAGGAGGAGGTATGTAACTAACTGGATATGGACTTTGAGATTTCAAAAGCCCATTCCAGGCCTGGCTAATGTGTCTCTGTCTTTCTTGCTGTGTGTCTTTCTGTCTTCTTCCAGTTTTTGGATCGGATGTGAGTTTTCAGCTACTACTCCAGCGGCACGCCCAGTGACCTGCCACCTTGCACCTAACGCGATGTTTGTGAATTAACCCTCTAAAACTATAAGCAGGCCCGCAATTAAATGCTTCCTTTAGAAGTTGCCTTGGTCATGGTGTTTCATCACAGCAGTAGAGCAGTAACTAAGACACAAACCCGTATTGAGAATCTCTTCCCAAGTATCTTAGTTATTTTTCATTTGCCATGGCAAAACACCACTACCAGGGTAACTTAGAAAAGAATTTTGGGGCCCAAAGGTCTTTGTGTCCACAAAGCACTAAGGAAACCAAGAGTATTAAACATTCAGGGACATCTCCCCAGTGGAGGAAATAAAATACCCACATTCCACCAGAAAGCTGGGAGTGAGCCGGGCAGTGGTGGTGCACACCTTTAATCCCAACACTTGGGAGGCAGAGGCAGGTGGATCTCAAGTGAGTTCGAGGCCAGCCTGGTCTACTAAGCAGTTCTAGGACAGCCAGGACTGTTACATGGGGAAACCCTGTCTCAGAAAAAAGGAAAAAGGAAAGGTGGGAGTGAATGTTGTTGGTGACCTGGTGGTCACATTTGTTTACCTGTAATCCCCCAGAATGTTTATCCCAGACTCTCCCTCTCTAGACCTTATCTTTAGCTCCCAGTCAATAGAGCCCATCCTTAGGGGAGATGTCACATGGACTTTATATTGTCTAGGTCAGAGACCACACCAGATCCCAGGCCTTTAAGCTGTAGGACCCATCTTCATGGTCACATGTACTTTGCAAAGGAGTTTCTGTGTAGTCACACATTAAGCTTTACTGTGCCCCTGGAACTGGAATGATTGTCGCGTAGAAACTTTTTCCCAGATTGTACTATTTTTAAAAATGCAGGCAATAAACTGCCTGGCGTCAGACTCATGAAATTTGATCTAGTCTGACCAAGACAGACTGAACTGAGTTTTCATTCTCACCTCTTTGCAGTTTAGTTTATTTCTCTGCCTGCCGTGATGCTTGCAGGGACCCCCCACAAAAGAAAGAATCATATTTGGGGCCCATGGTTCCTGGTGGTTAGAATCTATGCCCATCGTGGCAGGGAGCATAATAGCAGACAGGCCGGCAGGCGTGGCCCTGGAACAGAGGCTGAGGGCTCATATCTCAGTCACATGTAGGAGGCCGAAAGCGCTAACTGGGAATGGCACGGGCTTTTGAAATCCCAGAGCATGCCCACAGTGATAAGCCTCTTCCAGCAAGGCCACACCTCCTAATCCTTCCAAGACTCAAGTGTTCAAACATAAGCCTGTGGGGGCCATTCTCACTCCACATACCATACCAGGTAATTGCAGATTATGTCAAGTTGGCAATTAAAACTGACAATTAAAGCGGCTCATCATGGTCCTAAGAACCAAGTGTGGCCTGCATATTCCTTGTGTCTTGTAGGGATGATTTGGGGTGAGAGTGGTAACAGGTGTTGAAACGGGGAAACCCCATCCACAGACCCCTGGTTCCTTGTCACAGTTCTCATCACATCTGTGCCTCTTCCTCATCATGGCTACACAGCGGCATTCTCCTGAATACCTGCTGAGAGTGTTCTTCCCATTCCTGTCATGTTAAAGGTGGTTCCACAGCTCTTGTCAGTCTTCCAAGCCCCAGTGAATGGACATTTGTGGAGGGACTCAAAACAGACTTGACAGAAAGATGAAGACTTGTCATTACCATTGTTATGACTGCCATAACCCTGACTGTCAGCAGTACTGTGCGTCGTGTAGCTTTTGCATTTCTGCCTTTCTGGTAGCAGGAAATGATTCTCCTACTTTAACTCTCTATCTTCCAGGGTAGTCATGGGGATTCTTGTTTGCGGGCCAGGTGTTCATACCACTGCATGACTGATTGTTCACATTTTGCCTTCTTGAGGGGATTGTCAGAACATTCTGCTATTGTGGAATATTTATTTAACTAATTAAAGGTGTGTTGCATTTGTTTTTTGTTTGTTTTATTTTATATACATAGGTGTCTTACCTGCAGGTTTATCTGTGTGAGGGCATTGGATTCCCCTGGGCCAGGAGTTAACAGACAGTATGAGCTGTCATGTGGGTACTGGGAATTGAACTCAGGTCCTCTGGAAGGGCAGCCAATGCTTTTACCCCTTGAACCATCTTTCCAGTCCCTGTGCTGCATTTGTTTAATGATATAAAGATATGTTGCTTTGCATGCCTAAGGTACTTGATTGGTTTAATAAAAAGCTGAAAGGCCAATAGGTAGGCAGTAGTGGGATAGGTGGGGCTGGCAGGCAGAGAAAATAGGTAGGAGAAGAGAACAAGAGAGAACGGGGAAAGAACCAGGGAGAAAGAAAGAAAGGAAGGTAAAAAACCCAAAGGCAAACCATAGATGAAGAGAAACAGGTTAAAATAAGTTATAAGAGCTAGTGGGACAAGCCTAGGCTAACGCCGAGCACTCATAACTAATAATAAGTCTCTGTGTCGTGATTTGGGAGCAGGTTGGTGGCCAAAAGAAAGCCTACCACATTCTACTCCCCAGCAGATATGGATCTTGCATTTCTGTATCCTCAGAGCTGCACTTTGAGATATACAGATGTGTGAGGGGATCGGCGCGCCTGTGGTATGGAGCTGCCCAAATGCCTCCTGTTGCTGGATTCCTGGCCTCTCTTGGGCCCTCTGATTGTGAATGCATCTTGTTCTGTCTTCCACACAGGGGGAACTGGCCCTACCTCAGATACAGGCTGGGGCTGCATGCTTCGGTGTGGACAGATGATCTTTGCCCAGGCCCTGGTATGCCGGCACTTAGGTCGAGGTGAGTCACAGTGCTTAAATGGGGTCTGTGTAGTAAGGAGTGTTTAAAGCACATCATAAAAGCTGGGCATGGTGGCACACACCTTTAATTCCGCCCTGTGGAGACAGAAGCTTGTGGGTTTCTATGAGTTGGAGGCCAACCTGGTCTACATAGTGTTGCAAGCCAGCCAAGGCTACAAAGCTACCTATCTCACAAAACAAAAAAACAAAAAAGTGTATGATACTTTATGGTGCTTGGTTCAACCTCCAGTACCAACAAATTGTGCATGTGTCGGTGTGTGTGTTTCTTCCCAGTGAAAACCAATGGGCCATACTCAATTTTCATGTCATGGAAAGACCATTCAAGAGTTCTTTTGCTCTCTGTAGGAAGCTTGCAGTTCTGAACACGTTTTTAGCTCTCTTTTTACTTAATATTTCAATTCAGGAGCTCACAGAGTTGCCCAGGCAGGCCTTGGACTTGCAGTTCTCTTATGTCTTGGTTGGGGTTTCTATTGCTGTGATAGAACACCACGAACAAAACCAACTTGGAAAGGAAAGGATTTATTTCATCTTAGAACTCTCAAGTTACACTCTGTGTCTTAGGGGAAGTAAGGGCAGGAATTCAAGGCATGAACATAGAGGTAGGACTGAAGCAGAAACCACGGAGGAATGCTGATTTCTGGCTTGGTCAATCTGCTTTCTTAGACAATGCAGGCCTACTTGTCTAGGATTGGTACCAGTCAGCCCTACCATAACAATCATTAATCAAGAAAATACTCAAAAGATTTGCCTACTGACCTCTTTGTCCACGCATTTTCTAAATTGAGATTTCCAAATGACTCTAGCTTGTGTCAGGTTGACAAAAAACTAACCAGTGCCTCTTGCTTTAGCTTCCCAAGTACCTGGGATTATAGGCCTAAATCACCAGACCTAATTATTTATATTGATATAAATGATTATTCTTTTAGAAATCATCTTTAAACTGCTGAAACAGCTTTCTGCTTCCAGCCTATATTTGTTTGAATGAGATAGTGTGTGCATATTTGAAATACTAGAGAGTTTGACTTTTAACTTTAAAAAAGATTCAGAAATAAAGTTTTGTACATCTGAACATTGAGCACTTTATAAAAGGATGGTTTGTTACTTGTGTGGTCAAACTGACATCTGTTTTGTTCCCAATAGATTGGAGATGGATTCAACGGAAGAGACAGCCTGACAGCTACTTCAGCGTCCTAAATGCTTTCCTCGACAGGAAGGACAGCTACTACTCCATCCACCAGATAGGTGGGGGTTCAGTGTGACCTAGGCATGGCTCTTTGCAGAAGGCAGACTCCTTGGGACTCCCTCGGGAGCTTTCCAAGTCTTGGAGAGTTGGAGAATGAGGCTTCTTGGTTATTCTCTAGCCTCTGACCCCTGTGAGCTACTGTTGGTGTTCCAGCACTTGCTCAGACTCAAGCCTGCTCTGCCCCTGCCACTATACAGCCCTCAGTGACTGATTCCATGCAGTCTGTGGGAGTTAGGCTCCTCCTGAAGGTTTGCTTTTCTTAGTAGAGTAGGTGTCCTGTCTAGACCTTTCTATGAAGTGTTTACTGATAAAAGTGAGGCATGGTGTATGTGTGTGTGGTATAGACCTTTTTATGAAGCTTTTACTGATGTACCAAAAGTAAGGCGCACTAGAATGATTGTATTTGCTAACATGGGTCTGTTTCCTGCAGCGCAAATGGGAGTTGGCGAAGGCAAGTCTATAGGCCAGTGGTACGGGCCGAACACTGTTGCTCAGGTCCTCAAGTACGTAATGAGCCCAGCCCTTCTGCTTCTTGGGGTCAGCATGAGTTCTCCTTGGCATTTACCCACTCCTTGAGTACTTATTGCCACAGGAAATAAGGTATTCTGATTCTTTGCTTATAGACCCAGAGGAGTCCTCTGGGTGACTATGCCTATTGTTCTGTAAATGGGATTCGTGTTTAGGTCAGAGCCCTGGCATGGCCCTGTCCTCTGTACAGATCCATCTGTAATGAGGGCATCTCAGATCTGGAACCATGGGAGTTCTGGTACTCTCTCTGCCGGTGCTGTAACCCTCTACCTCTGGATTTGTCAGAGATCATAAGCCTCTACATGCTGCCCAGAGTCTGGTGTTGTTTCCTGACTGTCCCTTCCTGTCTTCTCTGTGGCCCTAGAGTCTGGAGCTCAGTCAGCCTTACTTGTCCTGAGGGGCACTTGCTTCAAAATTTCCTCTGAAATAGCTCTTTCTACTGTTTTCAGTAATATGCCACTTGTTAGTGTATGACCCCTCAGTGATTTTGTTTTGAAGATTTTTTTTCTGAAGTGAGGAGCTTTATTGAGATGAAGAGAAGGGGGAAGGTAGAGAGAGAGAAAAGTTGAAGATTATTTTTTATGTATGACTGTGACATGACTGTACATGTCATACATGCAAGGCTTACAGGGAAGGCTGGAAGAGGTTGTTAGATCCCTGGAACTGGAGTTAACAGATGGTTGTTAGCTGTTCTGTGGGTGCTGGGAACTGAACCCTGGATCCTCTGCAAGAGCAGCAGGTGCTCTGAACCATTGAACCCTCTCTGTGTTGCCCACACTCCCCTCCCTGCCCTGTTTTTTGACCTAATTGACATTGCCCTGCGGCTTAATATTCCAGTGCCTCTGGGAAGCTCCAAACTAATGTCCAGGACTCACTCATGTTGGACCCTTTTCCTGTGGGGCTGAAAGCCAGTATCGCTCAAATCTTTCTCTAGCTGTGTTTTCTCCTGAATGTTTCCTTGACACCCTACCCTGTGACTACAATGGCCATCTCCTACGTGCTCCATCTGGACACTTTCTTTTTTCCTATATCTGATGCCCAGCAATCCCAGGCCATGGCTGGCTGTAACTCCTTGACTTGGCTTCTTTGTAACATGCACACCCACCCCGTACCCTTTAGCATAGTTTTCAAGCCCTGCCTTGCCTTAGTGATTTCCTTTTCCTACAACAGAACACCATGATAAAGGTAGCTTAAAAAAAAAAAAAAAGAAAGAAAACAAAAAAAACCCAAAACATTTATTTTTGGGTGGTCACAGTTCCAGAGGGCTAGAGTTCATGATCATCATGGCAGGGAGCATGGCCATGGGGCAGTAGCCAAGAGCTTACATCTGCTCCACCATGATGAGGCAGAACAAGAACTAACTGGGAATGACACTGGCTTCTGAATTTTCAAAGCCTACCCTCAGTGACCTCCTCCAACAAGGCCAGACCTAGTCCTTTTCAAACAGTTCTACCTACTGGGGACCAAACATTCAAATATATGAGGGGAATGAGGGGGGCAGTTCTAATTCTAAGTACCGCACACCCCTTTAGCTTGTGATGTAATGTACATCACCGTATTACTGCTACCAATAGCCTTCAGTTCCCCATCAGTACTTTGTTTATATCTGTACCTCACTTTTTCTGTCTTCACTGGCAGAGAGCAGCCCCTTAGTGTTACTATTTACATCTTTCTGGAAATGGCAGATCAGGCGCTTGTTTATCCATGCTTATTTCTGTCCCTGGCCTCCTCTGCTTTTGTTGCTAGACCACTTTTCCTCACCTGTGGCTACCTCTCTGTCCTACACACAGGGATAGGGTTACATCCCCGAACTATTGCATTTCTACCTGGAGGCTCATGAGGCATGTTAACTTCCAAATTTAGAGCCCTCTGCCAGCTCTTGGGTGCATCAACCTGTTGCTTTTCCCAAAGTAGATGCTGTAGGGTTTCTTCAAATGCCTAGGCCAAAATGTGGGCTGATTCTAGACTTCTCTGACTCTTAGTTGAGCTTGCAAACCCGTAATAAGTCTCATTTTTAACCCGTGTTCATCCCTCCCTCCTATCCTGGTCCACATCTTGTCTCATTCTCTATCGCTCATCCTAGATTTTTTCGAATAATAACCAAAGTCATCTCCATAAAGGGCAGCAGCCCTCTCTGAGACTCTAGCGGTCCTAGGCATTTTAGCTGATCGCCACATCATTACCCACCCTGTGCCCCTGTGCTTACTCTGTCCTGACACACCCTTGGATGGCACATCTGTTACTCATTCACTCCTCTTTAGGTCCTTTGTGTCACTTAGAACCCCAGCCTAGTAGCCCTTCCCTGAGGCCCATGTAGCCTGCGCCCATTCCTCTGCTGACTACAGTCTACACAATCTGTGCCTGCCCCACTTGCTCGCTCCCCCAGCCGCCTTTCCAGACATGTCAGCACAGTGAGGTGCCACTGTGACTCTGTGTCTGGGTCTGTATTCTGGAAGGGCTTGGTGAGTAGTGAGGAAGCACTGGCTCTGCTGAGCCCCATCCACGTTTCCACTTCCTGGAAAGGGGCTCTGTGTGGTTTGTCTGGTGCAGTGGTTCACAACCTGGGGGTTGCAACGCCTTTGGGGTCAAATGACCCTTTCATGGGGGTCTCATATCAGATACCCTGCATATCAGCTGATTACATTATGATTTCTAACAGAAGCAAAATTATAGTTATGAAGTAGCAATGAAAATAGTTTTCTTTGGTTGGGGTTACTGAAACATGAGGAAGTGTATTAAAGAGTTGCAGTTTTAGGAAGGTTGAGAACCACCGCCCTGGTGCCTTCCAGACATTGGCCTCTTGTGTTCCTAAACATACCAGGATCTTGCAGCTTAGGTCCTTAGTAACTGTCCCCGTGGACAAAATGTCCCTTCTTACTTTCTGTCTTCTCATTGATTGATAGGTTTTCTGCCTCATCCCCGTAGCACCCGATTTACATTCTATTTCTGCGTAGCATGGCTCTTCTTTCAGAGCCGTAAGTCCAGCCATGCTTCCTCCCAACTGGTGGTCACAGTTGTGCTGCTCTTTAGATTTCTGGGGCTATCAGTTCAGAATGGGAGGTGCTGGAAGAGAAGCTGCTCAGCCATTAGCTGGACCTGCCCCTCACCTACAGGAGAAACTTGCGCTGCTCTGTCACACAGGGCTCCTGTCCAGCTGGCACCTCCCCGATGAACAACATCCCGCTTTCTTCCTCTGAGTTATTGAACAAATCCTTGACTTAAACTTGGAAGCTGCTCCTGATTGTCACTGCAATGGTGCAATGCTCATGCTGTCAAAGGCTCATGGGAGTATTCTCTTGCTTTCTCTAGGAAGCTTGCTGTATTCGACACATGGAGTTCCTTGGCTGTTCACATAGCAATGGACAACACTGTGGTGATGGAGGAGATCAGTAAGTGACTCAGGGTTTGGCTTACAAGGCCCAAGAGTGAGCCTCAGCTGGAGAGTTTGAGTCTCAGCAGCACTGACACTTCCCAGTAGGTGGAAGCCTAGGGGGAACATCTGTAAACCCCATTCCCTTACTTTGTCCACTGGGCTAAGTGAGAGGAAGGTGTTCTCTCCAACATCAAGTTAGTTATTTGTGTGTGTGCTACAGATAATGTGTTAATGCTGAGTATAATGGCATAGGCCATATCCAGATGGTTACAGTGGAAGAGAATGGTTTGTATGCTTTTCACTGCATTAATGCACCACAGTGAGATGCAGGAAGGGCTTTTCAGCTACCCCATCTCCAGCAAAGGACTCGTAAGAAGGAAGTACATGGTTCTACCAGCAGCCTGAGGGAAATCAGATGCCCAAACCAACTTCTAGGAGACAATAGTGCATGCTTGTAATCTTAGTATTTGGAAGATGGAGGTAGGAAGATCAGGAGTTCAAGGCCAGCCTAGGCTACATGAGACCCTAAATCAAAAAACAAAAGTAGCTGGGTTTAGTAGTATATATCTTTAATTTTATTACCTTGGAGGTATAGGTGGATCTCTGAGATCGAGGCCTGATCTCCTGTAGTTGTAGGCTAGCCTAGGCTACTTAACGAGACATTATCTCAAAAAACAAACAAGCCAAAGGTTTATGGCTATAACTCAGTGGTAGATTTCTTAGGCTCGATTCCTAGTACTCCCACACATTCACAGAACAACAACAACAAAAATCCAACAACAACCAAAACTTTCTGTAATATCATAAGCATTTTCCCCTAGTGTTAAAAACATGGTGACAGCTGGGTGGTAGTGGTGCACGCCTTTAATCTCAGCACTGGGGAGCCGAGGCAGGTGGATCCCTGAGTTCAAGGCTAAGATGATACACAGAGCCAGTTCCAGGACAGCCAGGGCTACACAGAGAAACCCTACATTGAAAAACAAAACAAGTTACACAGAGAAACCGTGTCTCAAAAAACAAAACAAAAAAAAAAGAAAGGAAACACTATAGTAGTAGTAGTAGTAGTAGTAAATAGAAAAAAGAAAACAGTAGCTTTTAAAGATGTATTAAAGACTGTTGTTATGGCAGAAATCTTTGGGACTGTTCTTAAAGACTTACTGTGTGTTTCTGTGCCTGTGTGTTTCTGTACCTGTGTATGTGCTCACAAGTCTTTGGAGTCCCAAATAGAGCATTGGATCTGGCGAGTTGCCGTGGCTGTGAGTGGCCGGCCACGGGTGCTAGGGAGTGAACTCGGGTCTCTGCAAGAGCAGCAAGTGCTCTTCTTAACAGCTGAACCATGTCTACAGCCTCCATTGTAACTTTTTGTTCTGAGACAGTCTATTTTTTTTTTCTCTGTAACAGTCCTAGCTCTTGTAGAACTTGTCTGCTTGCCTCTGCCTCCCAAGTGCTAGGATTAAAGACATGCACCACCACTGCCCAGCACTCATAGTAACTTTTAAGTAAAAAAAAAAAAAAAGTTTGTGTGTGTATGTGCAAATGCATGTCTGTATAATGTGCATTTGCCATGTGAAGGTCAGAGGACAGCTTTTGGGAGGTGATTCTCTTTCTGTCCCATTCTTCCACCCCTCCCATAACCTGGGCACATATGGCACTGTGGGAGCCATGATGATGCAGCCTCTCCTGTGGTCTCAGCACTGTCTGGAATATCAATGCTGGACCAGTAGTTTCATGAACTGAGGCCTTGTCATGTGAATGGGATCAGATCCTGGGGAGCAGCCTGAGGCTGCTTAGCTGTGACCAGGACCTGTTCAGAAGGATATGCTCATTACAGAACAAGGACAAAACATCTGACTCTGAATTTTGGAAAAATTACGTGAGGACTTGATGAAGGGCTGCAGCTGTGGGTAAAGCGTGTGCTGTGATGTGGTAGGGTAGACAAGACGGTTCTCGGTTGCTGTGACAGTTGCTTTTGAGGACATCCGTGGAGACAGGAAGCATGCTGGTGAGATGGCACATCACCAAATCTGATGACCTAAGTTTGGTTTCTGTGACTCAGTCATGGTAGAAAGAGAACCAGCTCTTCAATTTGGCCTCTGATCTCCACACATGTGCTGTTGCTCACATGTTCACATGCAGATATAAATACAAACGTGTTTAAACGTTTAAAAGAAATAAACTTCCTTTTTAGCCTACTACTAAAGGTTGCATGCAATAGCCCAGTTCGTAGAAATGGTAGCAAAGCAAAGCTAAGGGCACAGTGTACTAGCAGCATAGTTTCTTTCCTTCCAACTTCTTGAACTACTTGTGAGTGGGACAGTTACGGAAGAACTGATGTCACTCACAAAGGCTGCCAAAACTTCCTTCCTAATGAGAGCTGTCCTGTATAGCAGTCCCACAGATGTTAGAAGTATGACAGCAGAGGGAAGCCTTGTTTGCTTTTTGAGATGGCCTTAACTCTATAGCTCAGTCTGTCCTTCTGCCTCTCCCTAGTTCTGGGATTACAGATGTGAGGCACCATGCCCAGCAATGCTGATGGATTTAGACCTTCATAACTATACCAGAAGTAGTAAGTCCCCAGATAGCAGGAGAAAGTGTAGATTAGAAAAGACGTGTCAGGCCGGGCGGTGGTGGCATGTGCCTTTAATCCCAGGAAAGCTGAGGCAGACAGATCTCTGAGTTCAAGCCAGCCTTATCTACAGAGCTACTCCAAGACAGCCAGGGCTGTTGCACACAGAAACCTTGCCTTGAAAAAACAAAAAGAGAAGGGAGGGGGGGAGACAAAGAATAAAGAAAAGACATGTCAGCACTGAGTGAAGAAAATTAAGCACCACTGCAAGAACAACTGACAGAAGAGGGGGGGGGAAGAACCAAGAAGGCTGAAATTAAGCTTCCAAGTAACAGTTGAAAAAACAAATGACTTGAAGTCAAATGTTTGCAGTGAACATTTCCAAAGGAATAAGAGAAAGATCTTCTCACTTAGAGTTGTCTGTTTTGTTTTCTAAGAATCATTATTACTCACTTGTGTGTTCTCTCTCTCTCCCTCTCTCTCCCTCTCTCCGCCCCCCCTCTGGGGGTGGGGTGAGGGTGCCCGTGGAGAGCCAGAAAAAGGAGTTGTGAGCCACCCAGTTTGGGTGCTGCTAACCAAACTGTAAGAACCCCAAACACTCCTAACAGCTGAACTGTTTCTTCAGCACTTAAAGTTGAACTCTTAAAGAATTGTTTATTTATTTATTTTGGTTTTAAAGATTTGCACACACCTTAAATCCCAGCACTAGAGGCAGAGGCAGTCAGATCTCTGAGGCCAGCCTGGTCTACAGAGCTAGTTCTAGGATAGCCTAGTCTACACAGAGAAACCCTATCTTGAAAAAACATTAATAGGTAAATAAATTCTAAAAGTGGCTCTGGTAAACAATAATGTGCTTAGAGGTTAGAAAACTTAGACAGTGAGCCTGTGAGTGGTTTGGTAGGTAGTCTACTACCAAGCCTAATGATGTAAGTGTAGTCCGAGGACCTGACTCCCATCCTCCTCTGCTGATACTATGCATGTGCTTCGGCATGTGTGTGAGCACACGCATTTATGTGTGTACACATACAATAAGGAATTTATAATAAAAGCTGGTCATGATGCCTTGTGCCTTTAGTCCCAGCACTTAGGCTATGGGCAGGCAGATCACTGTGAGTTCAAGGCCAGTCTAGAGTCTAGGCCAGCCAGGGCTACATAGTGAGACCCTGTATTAAAATAACAATAGCAATAATAATAATGAGGGGGCTTTGAGATGGCTTGGTGGTGATGAGCACTTGGTGCTCTTGCAGAAGTGTTGTTGTTTGTTCCCAGCTGCCCAGAACTGAAATAATCACACAGAAACTATATTATTTGCAATACTGTTTGGCCAGTAGCTTAAGCATATTGCTAGCTAGTTCTTACATCTAGAATTAACCCATTTCCATTATTTTATATTTTATCACAACGCTATGGCCTACCAGCAAGGCTCCATTACTTCTCCTGACTCTGCCTCCTTTATCCCAGCTTTCAGTTTCGTTTTCCCCACTTACTTCTGTTCTGCCCTGCTATAGGCCCAAAGATAGTTCTTTATTAATCAGTTCTAATCACAGCATACAGAAGGGAATCCCACATCACTTCCCCCCCCCTTTTTTTGTCTAAATGAAAATGAAGGTTTTAGTTTTAATATAGTTAAATTACATATACAAAACAGGTATCAAGAAAATACAGTAACAATATTTATATCTACTTTATCTTTTATCATAACTAAGGAAAACTATAATTACAACTATCCTTCAACTCCATCAAAGACTCCAGAAGGATATAATATTACTACCTAAGTTAACAGGAAGTGCATTGTAAACAACTTCCAAAAACTCTAGAAATGACAGAGATATCTTGCTGCCTGGACAGTCACCCAAAGTTCTGTATCATTGGAGCACCCATATTCAGTCTATAGGCCCATAGTATCCAGCAGACTTTTCCACAAAGCAGGAAATTTCAAAGACAGTTCTGTCTAAATTGGCAATTTGTCAATCACTTTCTTCTAAACAGAAACCCCAAAGGACTGCCTCACCTTTAAGCAGTTTCAGTAGTCATTTTTCTGGTGGTCCTGCATGCCCAGTTTATACAGCATAACATCAAGCAGTCCAGGCAAAAAACAGTCTCTTGCCCAAATGGCTAACCAATGCCATAAGTTTGGTGCCCATCATCCCCTTGAAGTAATTGGTGCTCTCAGAAGCAGATGTGTCTCATGTCATGGAAAGTCCTAAGTTATTAAAATATTTAAATGCCATATTCTGTTAGTCTTTGAAAGATTTGAAGAATACCTGTCTAACTGAAATATATCTCTATATATCTAGAGAACATAATTGACATGACTACAAGCTTGACTATTATAGATGATTATCTATTAACCTATATGTCTTAATTATACTTTACATTTTTAAATGAGCTGCACAAACACAATAACTTAATCAATAGCAGAAATATACATATAATAAAATTGACCTTAAATTTGTATCAATAAATCAAGATCCATACCAATGCAAAGTATTCATCTCTATAGCATATTCCCCTTTAAATATAAACAAGCTTTTATCAACAATCATTTAGGGAATTTGAGCCTAGTTCTCACCAAACTGCTTCCTGCTTTTTGTTGAGCGAAATATTTTTTGGGGGGTGGTGTTCATGGCAACCTTTCAGGTGGTCTTGGTACATCAAATCATATTAGTCTGGAAGGAGTCCATAGGTTCTCAACCTCTGTTGAAACAAAGAAGAACCTCTTTTCCAAAGCAACATATCCTTAGACCCAAATTTTGAAGTCAAGATATGTTTAGAATATGTATGCTGGTTTAGTTTAACAGTCTGTGCAAAAGAAAGTTCAAAGAAAGCACAATAGTATACATAATCCAGACTCTGTATATTTTCCATCTTTACGTAGCTTATTTTTCTTACTCTATTACTTTTCTACAAGTTTACACTGTCTCTTTAAAGACTTTGTTTTATTTTTTAAAACAATTTACTTCTTTTTATAACTCTCTATGCTCTTTTTCATCTCTCTCCCAAGCCTATGTACATTTATCCAGCACTGTAACCCATTTAGAGGTCTTTTTCCTATGAATTTGTCTTTATTGTGCATCTGTAATCCTTTTTTTGACCAGGACCGCTTCTTAAACTGTTAAACGGCTTGGCTAGTACGAAGGCTGCTTTACTATTTGACTCCGCCCAGTCCAACATGGCAGAAGTCTGTTCACTGTCTCTGAGACTGCTGAGTGGGAGTCATCCTCACCATCTCAACTCTGGTAATCAGCTAGCCCATGCTGCCACCAAGTAACTTACAGCACACTGCCCACAAACCACATTCAAGTACTCAGCCTCCTGAAAGAGTCAGTTTGTGCTGGCAACATGGCCCAGGAAGCCGCCGTGTTTTTTGAAAATGTACATTTCTTTCTGCTACCACTGAATCAGGAAGACCTCTCTTTAAGAAGCTGCAGCATGCCACCAGCAAGCATAGCCTACCCCCCCCCAAAAAAAAAAGTGCAGCTAAACTTTGTTTTTTAGTTCTTTGCAAGCTCTCTCAGACTTTATGTGGATTTAGCTAGTACACGTTAGAGCACCAGTTTGTAGTAGGGGCCCGCTTGTTCTTCCTGGCTACCCAGACTTGAAATAGCCACACAGAAACTATATTAACTAAATCACTGCTTGGCCTTTTAACTCTAGCTTCTTATTGGCTAGCTCTTACATCTTTTGTTTTGTTTTGTTTTGTTTTGTTTTTCACGATAGGGTTTCTCAGTAGCTTTGGAGCCTGTTCTGGAACTAGCTCTTGTAGACCCGCTGGCCTCAAACTCACAGAGATCTGCCTGCCTCTGCCTCCCGAGTGCCACCACTGCCCAGCTTCTTTTTTTAACCTTATATCTTAATTGAACCTATTTCTATTAATCTGTGTATCGTCACGTCATGTGGCTGTGGCTTACCGACAAGGTCCTGTCCAGCATCTGTCTCTGGTGGGGCTTCTCCACCTTTCTCCCAGCTTTCAGTTTAGTTTTCCCTGCCTACCTCTAGTCTGCCCTACCAGGCCCAAGTCAGATTCTTTATTAACCAGTGGTAATCACAGCATACAGAGGATAATCCCACATTACAGAAGACCTAGGTTCATTTCCCAGTACACTTTTTGTGGTTTGCATCTGTAACTCCATTTCCTCCAACACCCACTTCTGATCTCTACAAGTAAAAGCAGGAATGTAGTGCACATATACACGGACAAAACACACAAAAATAAAATAAATAAATTTTTTTAAAAGACATTTTAAACAAGTTAAATAACTAAAAAGCAAATTGCTAAATAATCTCTGCCCTATTTCCTAGAAAGTCTAATCTTTCAGAACCATGAATCACTACCACTTTTACTCTCTTTAAAGTTTGAGTGTGTGTGTGTGACAGAGTTGTGAACTTGTATACACCATGTATGTGGAGATAATCTCTTGGAATTGGTGTTTTGTGAGCTTCCTTGTGGATGCTGGGAAACCAGACCTGGGTTCTCTACAGAATCTGTAAATGCTCTTGACCAACCATTGCATCATTTCTCAGGCATCCCTCTGTGTTTTGATCTCTCAAGTGCTGATATTTTAAAGAATCTGGTTCAGTTAGTGACCCACAAATTGGACTTGTCAGTTTCCTCAAGGTTGTGGTTGAGTTAAATATTTTAACAAAGGCAAACAATGACAGTGACCACCACCAGGTAGCACTCTGTGGCCTCTCAGGCCCATAGTGTCTGTATTGTGGTGCCACACTGGGTTGCCTGAGAGAATGATATTTTTTTTCAAGATTTATTTATTTATCACGTATATAGTATCTTGCCTGCATGTATGGTTACACACCAGAAGAGGGCATCAGATCCTATCATAGGTGGTTGTGAGCCGCCATGTGGTTGCTAGGAATTGAACTCAGGACCTCTGGGAGAGCAGCTATGCTCTTAACCCCTGAGCCCATCTCTTCAGCCAGAGGGTGATGTGTTTGTCTCAATGATAACCATTCCTTGAAATTAATGAAGATGATTCTAATATATGTTGATGTTCTTTGAAGCATTTTTTGAATAGTGATTTTCCTACATTGTCCCTCTTTACATGTTTGACAGGCATTCTTGATAAATATTTCATTCTCTCTTGTATTTTTAAATTGAAAAACTGTCAGGGTCTGGGTGTTCATGGGTTCTTTTTACCTAGGGTGCTGCCTAGGACTGTCATTTTGATCCCGTGTTACCTTACATTTGACCTGTAGTACCCCTTCAGGCTGGCTGTCTTGACTGGGCTTCCCATCATGTCTTGTTACTGGGTACACCTCTTTTTCTAGCATAAGGGAAATGCTCTCAGCTCCTCCTTTGTAGGACTGCAAAACATTGTGGGGTGTGTTCCACAACACTTGAGTTTTCTGACCACCAGACCCTAATTAATACGCTTATTGAAGGCTAGTCCAGTGCGTAGACAAGAGACACAGTAAAGGATGGAGAGGAGCTATTTCTTGATGCTCTTTTTGCTGGGGAGGGGTCTGAGTGGTCTGGGTTTGCCCGTGGCTGTTCTTTAAATTGTCCGTGAAAGTGCATGTGGGACCAGTGAGGTAGCTTAGTAGGTAAAGGCACTTGCCATACCAGCCAGGCAAACTGGGCTTCATCTCTGGAGACGACGTAAAGATGCAAGGAGGGAACCAACTCCACAGTGTTGTCCTCTGACTGCCACATGCACTGTGGGACACAGTGTACACACAGTTTGTTTGAGACAGGGTCTCAACACATACATTAAGTTTGTCTTGAACTCTCAGAGATCCCCCTGCCTCTGCTAAGTGCTAGGATTAAAACTATGCACCACCATACTTGGCCTAATAGTAATTAGAAATTTTTGAACAAATAAAGTGTATGCTGGGGAGATGGTTCAGCAGTTCAGAGCACTAGGCTACTCTTTCAGAGGGCCCACATGGCGATTCACAAGCATCTCTCACTCTATTTCCAGGAGATCTCTTCTGTCCTTGAGGGCACTGTTTGTATTTCGTGCACAGACTTACATTCATTCAAATCTACCATATACATATTTAAAAGAAAGTCTTTATGTGTAGAAAATGTTTCCCTTTTTTCTTTCTTTTTAATGGATATAAGTATTTTGCTTGTATGTGTGTGTAGTACATGCATTTCTGGTATCTGGGTAAGTCAAAAGGGGGCATTAGAATCCCTGTAACTGGAGTTAAGGGTGGTTGTGAGCCACCATGTGGGTACTGAGAACTGAACAAGGGTCTTTTGCAATAGCAACAGGTGCTCTTAACCATTGAGCCATGTCTACAGCACCTAGAAAATGTTTCTTTGGGGACATTTGTTCTCCATGTTACTTACATTTAAAGCACTTGGGGTTTTTGTTTCATTGTGTTTGTCTTAAATTATCTTATATATGTGGGTATTTTGCTTTCATGTGTGTCTGTGCACCACTAGAATGCCTTGTGCCTGCAGAGGCCATAAGGGGGTGTCACATCACCTGGAACTGGAGTTACAGACAATTGTGAGTTGCCGTGTGCATGCTGGGAATCAAACCTGTGTCCTCTGAAAACATAGTCATGTTAACCACTGAATCAACTCTCCAGCCCCTAAGCACTTAGTTTTCAAAACATTTTTTCTTTCTGCTTAGCTCATGAAAAACATGTCTTCCCCTCCAGGAAGGTTGTGCAGGGCCAGCCTTCCCTGTGCGGGAGCTGCTGCACCTCCTGCAGATTCAGAGCGGCACTGTAATGGGTTCCCTGCTGGAGCTGAAGTCACCAACAGGCCATCGGCCTGGAGACCCCTAGTCCTTCTTATCCCTCTCCGCCTGGGACTTACTGACATCAACGAGGCCTATGTGGAGACGCTGAAGGTGAGTCTTAACAGCAGCTTTTAACCCGAGCACCATGCTCCCAACTTTTCGTCTATCTCAAAGTGTAGTCAACTAGCTGTACCTTTAGGAGAGAGAGAGAAAAGGTCTTAATCTTCTAGGTGATATTGAGAATTTAAATGGCTGGAGTTTATAAAGGGTCTTCAAGACCAGTCAGCCTGGTGCTGAACCTGGCATCACGACCTTCTGTCTCTCCCAGGTCTCTCCCCTGCCCTCCTGGGTATCTCTTGAGCCTCTACTTCTGACTGGATCAAGTGGTTCTCAAGCCGTGGGTCATGACCCTTTCGTGGGGGTTGAGCAGTCCTTTCGTAGGGGTCCTATATCAAGTATTATCTTTTTAAAGAACAAAATATCCTACATATCAGATATTTACATTATGACTCATAACAGCAGCAAAATTACAGTTACGAAGAAGCAACAAAATAATTTTATGATCGGGGGTCACCACACCATGAGGAACTGTGGTAGGAAGGTTGAGAACCGCTGATATGGAGGGTGGTTGGGCTGATGAGGATGGGGACTGCAGGCAGATTTACTGAGAATTGTGTCCACCTCCGTGACAAAAACAAGAGGCAAACCCTTTTGAACTCCAGTTCCCTCAAATTTTAAACTAAGGAGCCACACTTGAGAGCCTTGCTGTACAAAATGGCAGTACTTTTTATTAAAGTCTTTCACTTTCTAATCACCTCTCCATGTTCAGATAAAACCAAGTGTAAAATCCCTCCCTGGTCTCGATCTTGTTCTGTCCCTCCAGATCTCCTGACTATCCTGGCCCCTCTCTCTGCTATAGGTTCCAAGATCACTTCCTCTGTCACTTCTGCTTCCCCTCACTGATTTTCCACTTTTCTCTGACTTGTCTCCTGTTGTCATTTCTCCTTTCCCATTGGGTCAGGCTGATGTCTGGCCAGGCTACCGCTCCCATGAGCCTGCTCGCATTTCTCACCTATTGTTAATCCACAAGCTGTTCCTCAATCCTGTCACCTCTCCAAAGTTTACCCAGATAGAACTATGAGCCTGTGGTGTTCTTTTGTATTGTCTGTACTGGAAGCTCTTTGAAATATGTCTTCTTATTTTTCTTCTTGTGTCATTCAGGTAAGCCTCTGGAGGCCATGGGCTGCCTGTGGTTGTGGATGGTGAAACACATTCTCCTGGCCATGTACAGGGCTAGTGTGGGGGATTGTCTAGGAGCAGTCTTCTTGCATGCGTTGCAAGGCCAGTGTGCTCAGTGGCCTTCCCTCTTCTCTCCTGCAGCACTGTTTCATGATGCCCCAGTCCCTGGGTGTTATCGGAGGGAAGCCCAACAGTGCCCACTACTTTATTGGCTACGTTGGTGAGTCTGATTTATACACTATGGGTTCATAGGGATAGTCTGTCTCCCTGAAGAAGTGGGTTTTTTTCTGTAGAGTTGTATTTATTTGTCTCCCCTCACTCACTGTGGTGGCATGCACCTCACTCCACCTGGCATTTTGATATCTACTTACCTTCTGTCTGCTGACTCTGATGTGGTGGGTTTCAATGTTGCTCTGGCCTGCTCCCTCCCTCTTGCCCAGCCCTAGCCAGCTGCGTCTGACTTCTCTGTCATCTCACCCAGGTGAGGAGCTCATCTATCTGGACCCCCATACCACACAGCCTGCAGTGGAACTGACTGACAGCTGCTTTATCCCTGATGAGAGCTTCCACTGCCAACACCCTCCCTGCAGGATGGGCATCGGAGAGCTTGACCCGTCCATTGCTGTGGTATGTTCCAACCATGCAAACTCCCAGGAAGTTGTTGAGACATTCTCTGCCAGGCCTGCAGTGGAATATAAAGAAATATGTCTACACTTTAATAGTTTTTTAGAGTGTTAGATTTATATAGTTAAGGATCCTCATCCTCCCAAGACTGTGCGCCTCCTGAGTGGCAGTCACAACCACAGTGTGTGTGAGTGTTGCCCGTGATTGAGTGTTATGTACCAAGTGTGAGGGTGTGTGTTTTTCCTACTGTATAAAATACAATGAGAGCATGTTAGAGTCACACGTCTGTACCTCATTTCCTCTTAGCTTTTTCATCATCATTTTGTTGTTTTTTTACTTAATATATCTTAGAGACAATTCCCTTGAATGAGCTTTTCCATCTCCTTTTTTGATGATATAGTAGATCCGGATTTCTGGTGATTTATATAAACCTGCCTACTCAGAATGTGTTTGGGGGAAAGAGGATGAAAAACTAAAAAATGTCAAAACAGTGCCATACCCGGGGAAGCCATTGCCTAGTTAGGCTGTACAGTGTGTTGCTTGTTGGCAGAAGTGCAGCATATCTAGTACCAATATGCAGCTGTCACACAGGCACAACACCCAGAATATACTCTGCAACATGTGCCCCCCAAGTTCTACGGAGAGTAGGCTGGGATTTCCTGTAGAACCCACTGGTAAATACCTCAGCTAACTGGAGTGTTATGTTACAGTGAATGCATCTCTGCAGCTCAGTGATTGGAACTTGGTGTCCTACCGCCACCTAAACAGCCCACCTCATAGAAGATACTAGACACGTGGGGCTAGCAGGTGCAGAGAGCTCCAAGTTTGAGCCACAATTTTAGCTTTTGAGAGTTGAGATCAAAGGGAACACATGGTAGAATCACTCCCCTTGCCACCATGGGATAGGCCTTCCATCATTGAGCAGAGTGTCCGTATGTATGAACCAAAGCATGGGCAGAGCAGACAGCCTGGCGTGTATTGGCGAGTGCATACCAGGATCCCTGAAGACTAGCGATCACAGCTTCATGCTCATACAGATGTGCTCACTACTCACGGTCATTTTCATTGCAGGGGTTTTTCTGTAAGACTGAGGAAGACTTTAACGACTGGTGTCAGCAAGTCAAAAAGGTCTGTAGCTACTCCTGTCCCGAGCCAAGATGAAACTTCTTGGGGCCCAGGCAATTGAGGTGGCTGGGTAAAGGGAGCCTCTTTGCGTGGTCTAGCTAGGAACCCCATTTACTGGTTGCATGGGGAGTTTTGTTCCTGCCTCACACATGTGGGCAGACTGACTCTTAGCTAGGTCATAATTGGCCATCTTTTACCTAAGTTTTGCACATTAACTTTTTGGTAGAGTTCTGGCCCACTCACCTGCCTTTTGTGGTTCTGGGGTGGCAATAAATTGTATGCCAAAGGTTGTCCCTGTGCCTTCTGTGATCATGTATGCCTGATGGGGTAACAAACCATTACCAATGGGGCAGGCCCATGCTCTGTTGACTACTGTGTTGGTCTATGCTGTAACCTTTAGTATGAATTCCACTTCCGTTTTCTTATCTGTGAGGCTATAGTGACTGTCGAGGTGCATCTAACAGCGTGTCTCACTGACAGCTCTCCCTGCTTGGTGGTGCCCTACCTATGTTTGAGCTAGTGGAGCAGCAGCCTTCCCATCTGGCCTGCCAGGACGTCCTGAACCTGTCCCTAGGTGAGTGCTGTGGTTACAGAGTCAAGTCTGACTGGGATAATCTCTTAGTTCATGTAGTCTGTGCCTGACACAAGCCCTCAGGTCTCGGTCTTTTTCCTTTTAACCAGTGTTTATATGAGCCCAGGTGCAAATAGTTGGTTGAGGGGGCACTATAGAACACCCCATGACTCAAACCCGAGCTTGGCAGCAGCACAATCCATATTCTGCCAGGGGCTGTTGAGCCAGACATGTTCCCACAGGTTCCTTGGGTACTGTTGTGACCAGGCACAACAGGGTTGTGATGATGAAGTCTGGTCTAAGGGCCACTGGGGATGAGCAGTACTGGTTCTTTGGCCTATAGCTAATGTGCCTGCAGGGGGCAGCCTGGGTCCTGTGGGCCAGCACAGGTAGAGTTCAGGGGCTGGCCTTGGGCGACAGTGGAGGGAAGCCTGGTCAGTCCTGCTCATTCCTCAGCTGGTGCAAGGAGAGGGTTCCCTCATCTTCCTGAACCCAGGAAGACCCCATCGCTTGTCGGCTGGCAGGAGTCAGGTGCCATTCTCTTCCCTTTGGTGGAATTCCCATCGCTCTTTGGGGCCTTGTCTGCACTCCTTTGTGCCTGTTAAGACTCTCCAGTCAGGAAGGGCTGTACAGGGCCTAGCAGGCCTATTCTAGTTTGCCCCCCTCTCCTCGTGTCTTCCCAGCCAACACACACCTACACCAGCTCCTGAGAGATGCCTAACATTCTATCTTGTTCCTTCCAGATTCTTCTGATGTAGAGAGACTGGAGAGGTTCTTTGACTCTGAAGATGAAGACTTTGAAATCTTATCCCTCTGAAAATCCTAGGGTTTGGGGATGGCCTCCATGGCCCTCGTTGGGGTGCTTTGAGAACCCAGACCTGCCTTGGGCACTCAGTGTCAGCGCGTTCCATCCACCCAGCCCACCCCTGCCGAGTGCTGTGCGCCTGTGCCACCTCTGTCCAGAGGGCCTGCTCTGCTCATGGACCAAGGACTGCGGTGCCTGGAGGCCTTACTGCTTGGAGTCAGACTGCCTAACCCCAAACACAGCAAAGGCCTGTCCACATGAGAAAATGGCCCATCAGAAGGCCTGTTCAAAAAAGTGCAGCGGGCCAGGAGCTTCCAGAGTTCTCCACTTGACACTGCCAGCCCTGGCCAGCACATCAGCTTTCTTCTGCTTTCTCCTGGACACCTGGTCTGTGGTTTATTTGGAATTAAAGCCCTGTTTGGAGTTGTTTAATGAAGACATGAATTTCTGGGGCACTTCCCAGGTCAGTCTTAAAAGACCTGCAGGTTGATGTGTACAGAGTAACAGTCACAGCATGGCCTCATACTGCTGGGCAGGGTGAGCCTTTGGGCTGTCATCTGCCCCGTGTGATTCTCAAGGGCTACCTCAGTAGGAGAGCACATGGAAAGAATTACAGCAAGGCTGCTGCTGGCTTTGGAGAGAAAGTATTCTGGTGGAGCATTTGGAAAACCCAAAGATATTGGTGTGCATGGGCACAGTGTGGACACCTGGACCCTGGAGCAGCTGACAAGCTCCCAGGGCATCTGGAGCCGTGGTCCCGATTCCCATTAGGACCTCACTAGGGAAGAGCTTTGTTTCCTGTAAGGGGCTGATGCATTTAAAGACACACCGCCTGCTGCTGTTAGCTTGCCACCCAGCTTCCCTCTGGGAGGGAAGGGAAGGGGAGCAGAGCTACTCTTTGCTTGTGACACTGTGCCCGCTGGTGATAGGGTACACACTGCTACTTGAGCCTTCTTCCATGTTCTTGCCCTTCTCAGAAACCCTCCTGGGTCACAGAGAATTTCTTGGTTTGGGGCCAAAAAGTTAAAGAGCTTTGGCTTTTAGTGCACAGTAGAGTGTATTTAAACGGAGCCGGCAGCTCCAGGCACCGGCAGGTGCAGTGTCCAGACCCTCCTTGGCGCTCATTTCCATTCCCGCCACCTTCTAACCCTGGCTTTCTGGGCCTTCAGGCTTTGATGCTCTAGGTCTGCTGTTTTAGAAAGAGGCCTTTCCTTCTCCCTAGAAGATATGAACAGGGCGTCGCCGTGTGGGGTGGCCCTTGCAGCTTTTCCTAAAAGCCCTTCCCTAGGACCCTGTAAACGGGTGAGGTTGGAGCTGCTCCCTGACGGCATATGCCAGATATGACAACAAAGTGTTCATGGCATAATTTATTTCCTTACACTCTGTCTCTCCTACATCTTGTCCCTTAGCTTCAGGTGGGATGGGATGGGGGAAGGCCCATTCCTCTGGGGCTCCACTTCCTGAGTCCAGTAGCTGTTGTGTTGCTGTGGTCCAGGGTCTTGCTGCAACTCCTGCTGATGGTACCAAGGGCGGATGTGTGGAACAATACAACCTGAGGGAGCTCTCAGGGCTTGAGAAAGGCTTCCTGAGGTTGTTCATTCTTAATAGTATAGTTTGCAATTCTTAATGGTAAATAATAAGTTTCAGTAGAAAACAACATTTGTGTGTGTGCTGATTTTTTTCCTCCAGTTATGGTTGGCTGTGATTTTAGTGTTGACAGATTTCCCCACATCGGACAAGTAGAGTCTGCCCTGCGTCTGGCCTAACTGTGTAGCCAGTGTCGTTTTTCCCTCATATTGAGTAAACTTGTAGCCCTAAAGGGAAGAAGTGCAGGGAGAACATGGTATAAAAGTGAGCTGGGGGCTGGAGAAATGACTCAGCAGTTAGGAGCGCTGACCTCTTCCAGGGAACCAGAGTTCATTCCCAGCACCTACATTGGGCTGCTCACAGCTGCTTATGACCCCAGCTCCAGAGGATCTAACACTCCTGGTCCCTGTGGGCATATATACACAGAAATAGTAAAAATCTTGTTTAAGCCGGGCAGTGGTGGCACACACCTTTATTCCTAGTACTTGGCGGGCAGAGGCAGCCAGGGCTACACAGAGAAACTGTCTCATTAAAAAAAAACAAAACTTTGCTTAAAAAATGAAAGCAGTGAAAAGCACTTACAAGGCTTGCCTTGGGTTCCCTCCAGGCAGGCTGTACCTGGCTTTGGCCTGGAGGACTAGTAGACTAAGGATCACCGCGTTCTGCCTGATGGTGTCTCAGTGGGACAATCCTAGATGACACCTACCTGCTCCGAGTCCAAGTAAAACTGCTGACCCAAGTACAGCGGCCCAAGGCGAGGCTTAGTGCTCACTCTGCCGGCTTCTTAGGGCTGCTGTGCCCACAGCACACGACCCACTGCTCTCCAGAAATGCAGACCATGCTGGCAGTAGGGCTGATTTCCCAGCATCCAGAGGCTTCCACATTCTTCTCTGAGTTACAGATGCTTTGCATTTCCTGACCTTGGGCAGGTTAAGAGGCCTGTGGTGACCCACCTGGCTAATCCCATAACCATTTTTTCTTTTTTTTGAGTGTCTCACTGTGTAGCTAGCCTAGAACTCAAGAGATCCACCTGCTTCTGCCTCCTGAGTGCTGGCATTAAATGTGTACCACCACACCAGGGTAGTTCTCAGCACAAGGTACCGTCCCATGACATCTACCTGGCCCATACCTTTTTGATCCTGAGGGGGAATATGCTTCACCTCACCTGTGACACACCCTACACATACAGGCTGTATTCTACCAGGAAATAAATGTCAAATCATCCTGTTTTGGAGGGGATAGTGTGAGAAGCTTTAGCAGCACACACACACAAAGTTATTATCAGAGGGTCTAGAATGTTGAACATCATGCTTTTTGATAAGCCTGGCCACACCTGAGAACACAGAATCAGGGCATGGAGCCTGGTAACTGATCAAGCCCACAGTGGAAATCCCATGAGTAGTAAGCAGACCCATCTCTACAAATTCTTAGGGGAAGCCAGTGAGGTACATTTTCAGATAAGGTTTTATTAGTGTCTGTAAAAAATATAACTCTCAACTAATGGATGTTTCTAGTGATCTCAGTAAAACTGCCCGAAGTTACCACTAAAGGTCAGTATGGAAATACCGTAACACGTTAACGCCTTTAGGGTCAAGGAGTCAGGAGACGATATTGCAAACTTGTCCATACCACCAAATTCTCGGGTTATGACAGAGGCTTGTAGGTCTCTTCAGGAAGAGCTCCCCCTGAACGGTGTTGTGAGTCTTCCACCAGTTTCTGCCGTGGAAGTCTAATTCATTTCCAGAGCTCCTCCAGCGGACTCTGTGCGGCGCTGCGGATGGCGTCCTCAGACAGGACACGGATTTCTTCATGGACATCCTCAATGCTTCTGGAAGCATCAACCACCTGTCACAAGGAGACCGCAGGAAAGGGACATGACACTACCTCTCTATTTCCAATGCATGTGGTGACCTCAGTGAGCCAGGGCCTGCAAGAGCCAACCTAAATCTCAGGGACCCTTCACACACCTGGTGTTCTTGGCACACCGTAGCTTGCATACCTACCGCATCCCAGACACGGAGGAAGCATGCACTGGCTGCTCATCTTGCTCCTAAGCAGGCTGAGCAACTATCCTCCAGTTGATAAGTAAGAACAGGCTCCATGCCAGGCATGGTGACCCACCCTTTATAGTTCCAGCACTCAGGAGGCAGAGGCAGACAGATCTCTCTGAATTCAAGGACAGCCTGGACTACATAGTTCCTTCCAGGACAGCCAGGGCTATGTAGAGACCCTGTCTCAAAAACAAAACAAAACAAACAAAAAAACAACCTAGTTTGCTTCCTGTCCTCTTGGGAGATGAAAGCTGCCCTAACAGCTGCTCTGTTCCGAACAGGACAGGTAGATCCAAGTGCAAACCAGGAGAGAGGGTCTGAATAAGTGTCACCATCTGGAGGGGGTCTGTGTTTCTGTAACTCTGGCTAAGACCTCTGGCAGCAAACATTTAAAAAGCTTCCAGGAGTGCAGAAGGATTATGGAAGGAGTCCAGGTATTTCTCAAAGTACGGCTACGCGCAGAAAAACTCCACAGGGGTCGCTTCCTAGAAGGGAGCGTGACAACCCCACTACAGTCACACAGCCCTGGCCCAGACTATCCAGGGTGCCTCTCCAGGCTGACTTAACGCATGCCCAGGAAAAAGGGTATTAGCATCTGCTCTAATATGGCAAGACGATGCAGAAACTTAGGATAAACTTTGCAATCCTGAGGACATGTAACATAAACAAAGGGCAAGTAACGCCAGGGAAACAGCGCCTTTGTAGACAAAACTGGTCTGTGACCTTATGCTACTCAAGTGCCAGCCGCCTTGGGAACCGTAGGCAACAGTTATAAGATGGCCTGTGCGAGCAATGCCAGGCCCACCAGGACTATTCCAGAATAGATGTGTGGAACGACGGTACAGTTAGGGTCAGAGTAGGAGCAAGCAGCAGAGAAGGGGCTCATGTTGGCTTCCGTGCGAGGAACAAGATGGAAGCCTGGTATGGACACTTCTGTGCTCCGGAAATGGCCATGCATAGGCCTACAGGGCTTCAAAGAAATGGGCAGGATAAAGGCCCAGGTTGTAGCTATAAAGAAGAAGGTGCCTATGACTGAGAGCCAACAGGAAGGCCAGGAAGAAATCACTGCATGAGGTAAAAGGGAAAGATACATCTCACCATGAAACTCCACCTTCTGACAGTAAGTATAATCCAATTATAGACAGTACACTGAAGAGTCATTCCTGTGAGAGGCTGCAAAGTAAAGTATGATGTAGCTTGCAAGACCATGTTCTGAATGGTGATGTCACAGGACTAAAGGCTTGTATAGAATAAGATAACAGACATTTGCTGGGGCTCATCTTTGAGTCTTGTAGATATAGGGTATCTCATTCTTATTAGGATTGCTTCTCAAACTCATCTGGCCTAATAGACAAAGAAAATCTTAGGGTTTTGTATAATCGGTATGAGGATCAGAATCTGTTGGCATAGAGCTGGAAGGATAGCCCAGTGGTAGGTGAGGCCCTAGGTTCTGTAGCTGTTGGCAGAGAACCAGAACAGCTTCCCTGAGATTTCCCAGGTGGGTAACCAAACTATACCAGCTGTGCTGATGTCAGCAGAGGGTAGACGGCCACCCGGCTCCTCGATGGCTGTTTGTAGCCAGCACTCACCTTCCAGTTCAGGTTTTCGTCTTTCATGAGCTGCTGGAAACACAGCAGAACCTGCTCCTGGAAAGTCCCAGTCTCATAGCGCTCAAGCCCAAACTCTCCCCGTGCCGCAGCGTCCAGCAATTGTAACTGAAGGAACAGGATCAGGTCGGGCTTGGGAAGGCCCACGTCTGGTTGTTTGCACCAATCCAGGGAAAAATTCTGCCAACAGTTAGAGAAGGTAGACTGAGTGGGGTATAAGCTTTTGCTTCAAAGTAGGGTTGGGGGACCTGCTGCTGCAGGTAAGATTTAACCTCTGTGCTCTGCGCTCGGTTTATGAACCACATTACATCCTGGGCCATCTCAGAATAAGGCATGGCAAATGTAGATGTCTTGGTGGTACAGTCAACCTAGAGTCTGAGCTGGAAAGGTGCTTGTTCCAGAGACAGGGCAGAGCTCTGTGCTGTAAGCTTTCATTTGTATTCCTCCCGAGAAGCAGTGAAGGAAACAAGCAATCCTGGAAACCCACCGCATGCTTGCCTGCCTACTACATCTCATGTTAGATCTCATGTACATGGAAACCCACCGCATGCTTGCCTGCCTACTACATCTCATGTACACGGAAC